CTTGAATATGAAGTCATATACTGGCAATCTAAATGTGACCTTGAAATTGACCTTTGACCTACTTTTCACCATGAACTGAACTTTGCAAATTTTGGTTCCCTTTTATCTCCAAAACTGGCAGAGATAGGTCCATAGTTACTATTGAAGTTGAATAAGAAGTCATATACTGGCAATTTACTGTGACCTTGAAATTGACATTTGACCTACCTTTCGATGAACTTAACTTTGATTGTACCATTTTTAGTCATATATGTTTTTTGCATATTTTGAAAATTCTTGTTGATTGCATTTTTACAGCTTGTCAAGCACAAGACTGGTGGCTGTGTCCCTTATTTTGTGTATGTGGGGGTTTATACGAATGCGCTTGCTCCAGCTGGTGGTACAATATTCGGAGGCGGTATCGCCTCTCTGATCCTCTAGTTTTCTGTTTGGATTTTGCTAAGAATAATATTGGAATGCTGTTATTATGCTGTGATCATTTTTGAAGATGAGACAGAAAGGCATGACTACAGGTAATGTTATAATAGATAGACTTAGGAAACTATGGAGAAATACACCTTTACTGCTGATTGAAAAGAACAGAACCCAATTGTCAAAATGTAATGCAAAGTACATTCTGATCATTTTGTAGGGGTGTTCTAACAAAAATACAGTAGCATCTGCACCAAAAGCTGCTTCTGTTTTGATATTTTTTTCTGCTCGCAGTGAAAACCAATATTTTTTGTCTACAAAATCATTTTCATTTGGATTGAAACATATATTCTTGAGACTCTGACTGCTTGGATTGATATACAGTTTTATTTTAAAAAAATTGTATTATTATTTTCTTTCTTGTAATCAATTAATGGTCTTCACATCCAAAAGAACTTCAGAGCAACCCCAGATGAGACACTATAAAAACCTGGACTGGTTTTCTGACTGTTCATGTAGTTCAAACTCCATAAATATGTCTGGCATTTTAATAAACGACACATGCAGATATCAAAGAATCATCAAAAGTTGGAGCACATTTACTCTCCCTAAAGGTTGCCGCCTTAGTGCGGAGTATCAATTTGTGAAATTGTCCTCACTTGTTGTTAACTGGCTGTGGTAATTGAGTTGTGTTATCTTGTAAACTGTTGTGAGGGGAATAATGCAATGGCTGCTGCCCAGAAACCTATTAAATATATAGATAAACACTGATTTATAACATTCTCAACAGATTATATTGTGCAAACAATTCTGTTGGGAAGTATAAAATGGCATATGAACAAAAACCAGTTGAAAATGAAGATGAACTTGCACTGATGTTGACAGAGGTCAGCTGCTTTCTGCTTTCTCTATGCACCAGCTTATAATATTACAAGTTTTACATATTTGGGGAAGTTCCTTAACTTACTGCCACTCTCCCCCCTCCCTGCACAATGGTTATGTTCATCTGAAATCTACTAATAAGACTATAACTACTAACTACTAACTATACTTTCCTGTGTACAGCATAAATACCTTGCATGCTTAGGCCTGGTGGCCTAGTATCTTATGATTTATGGTGGTTCATCCATTGTCATGCTTTAATAATGTGTCTTTATGTTTACTAACATCTTTATTATTTGATTTCAGTTGTCAAGAAACACCCTTCCTCCTTACATTCCCTTTAAATTCTTAAGTACAGGGATGGGAACATCCTCTTTTCTTGCATGCTCTTCAAATTTTGAATTACAGGGATGGAAATTTCCCAAGTTTTATGCAGAGAAGACATGTTATAAGAATAGATGTCAGTGTAGATAACTAGAGACAGGTTCCTTCCTGTCCTTACATTGTTCCCATCCCTGTACATGATATGTAGCAGTAAAAACACCATTAAACTAGCACTTTGATGTGCAGCATATTTAAGACACCATTCCCAGAGCCTATCACACTAACTTTGGATCGGTCCAGGGGGATTCCCACTAAATTGCTATTAAATTAAGCAGCTTAGATGTCTCGCACACCCACTGATGCTGTTAGGGGGTAATAAACTCATTCAGCAGCTTTAGCAGGTGTGCCAGACATCTAAGCTGCTTAAACTGAAAGCAATTTAGGGAGAAACCCCTTGGAGATAGTTCGATCTTCTAAGATCAATCTAGGCATGGTAACCCAGTCAACCTTATCAGTCAACTCTGTTATGTGCATGTGCAGCATATTTAATACCCTATCAGTCAACAATGTACCTTGTACCTTGATAGCATGTGCATGATATCCATACCCTTATATTTGCAGATCACATTATTGTCAAATACACAATTTTCCAAATATTTATTTTAAAGCAAGGCTTCAAGTGATGGATTGTCATATGCACATACATGTATTTATTGTTGATGTTTAAGGATGCCCAGTATGTAGAACATTATTAACAGTGGATTTCTATTAATATTGGGATGAAAGTTACATTGCACTTGCTGTTTCTTAGATAGTTTAATTTGCAGTCAACAATTTTAGGTATTACACTCTCATAGATGTAATCAACATTGATACAACTTATCTGTTCGCCAGAATTTTTTTTTCTCAAGAAGTTAGGTTTCTTGGCTACTGAAATGAGAGTGTAAACCTAGTATTTGTTGTCATGGTAATTCTTTCTGTTGCATGTTTTTCTTCATTTTCCTTTCCCTGCATTTTCTCCACTAGAGGTCTCTTCTAGACGATTTCCCCAAGCAATATACTGACTCTGTGCGAAGTGGCAAAAGTGTTCAATTTAATGTCTTGGACTTACAAGAGGTAAGTTTAATGTCATAGGTTTACTAGAGAAAATGTTAAAGTGATGAACGTGCAGGTGAGTCCTGAACCATGCTTTCATAAACAAAATAAACAGAGGCTGGCAGATCTGCTGCACTGTGGAAATTATACTTTTGAAATACTGCCACTACCCATGTCAGTAATTATCAGTGATGTTTTTAAAAGTAATAAATATTGTTATGTGTCAGTTACTGCATCCCAGAGCTAATAATATGATATCATGGAGGATAAAGGGGTCCAGTCAGGGTCAGGGGGAGATCAGAGGTGAAGTGAAGGTCAGGGCAAGGTCAGAGGTGAAGTAAAGGTCAGGGAGAGGTCAGAGGTAAAGGTCAAGAAATTGTCATTTGTCCATCACAAGATCAGTCTTGGGTCAAGAGACCCAGAAATGTGCCAAAAGAAGTTATATTGAAATACAGTCATTTGACAATTGGGATGTAGCACAGTTGTTTCTTTATGTATAATATTATTTATTAATTATGATTTTATCGATATGAATATTATTTCTTTAATTTTTTGGAATTTTATAGGCTTACCAAATATTTCATAGTCGAAGGCTAATTTTAAGGTTGCTTTTTAGAAGTGACTTAGTAGACATGCTTTTCTTGCTAGTTTATACATGTATATATTTTAGATGTCTAGCTTTCCTATGGAATATTGTATCACTTGTGGTGATACTCTAGTAGTATTTACTATTATACCCCAGACACTGTTAAGGGGTGTATAGACTACAGGTTGGCTGTCTGTTAAGTTTGTTCATTAAAATAGCTTGACTTGGTGAAAACATCACATAACAGGTCAGCAGATTGTATTACTGAAATTTTCAGACTTTTTTAAGATGAAGAAAAGGTAAATGATGTTAGTGAATTTTATGGATATTTCTTTGTATTACGGTAAGTTGATTTCGGAAATGCATCTAGTAAGGTGTGATGTGTGGTATATTTGATATGTTTATCATGTGTGTGTTGTGTTTAGAATTTATTTTGTCATGATTGTAGAACTTGCAGTGATGAGAGCCTTAGTGTCTTCACTAGAACAGCTTGCAGTGAACTGACACATGGTTACATACTATATTGACTTTAGAGAGTATCTAGAACCAGTTTCAGAAAATGACTTAAAAGTTTGCTTTTCTTTAGTCTATATGGCATTCAACAGAAATTCTGAATTAAAGACGAGACTTTTAACTTAGCTGAAATCACCCTACCTGGTTAACAATAGAATGTTATTTTAAAACCCGATATTTTATTTGAAAGGTATAGGTGATGAGATCAATAACCTTTATAAAGATGTTGCGTAGTTTATTTGTATTAAAATAGCACATTTCTATACTTCAAAAATAACTGATTTCAAAAAGTTATCATTCTGTCATTGGATTATTTCTCTTCATTTGCAAGCCTCCACAGAGAGTGATAGATTTGAGTGAAGAAGAGGTAAAGTACCAGTAGCATGATGTGTGCTGTGTTCATTTATAAACTGACATCAGAGAAGACTTACATCCGCTGTGTTATGTTAGAACAATTAAGTAGTTTTTCTTCAATCAACAGCTAATATTTGGCAGCGAATATTGCCTCATTCCATGATGTAGATACTCTTGAGAGACAGTGAAATATTGGAGGTAATTATTAGCTGCCAGTATTCACTGGTCATTGAAGAAAAATGTCTTTATTCTTAAACTGACATATTGTTAATGTTGTTTAGTTCAGTCATACCCAGCCAAAGAATTTTAAACCAAGTTCAGAAGAAGGCAGATGAAGGCGGTTGTTTTGACAGAAGCTTCAAAACCAGAAAGAAAGTGACCAAGTGTATAATAGGCCAATTTATCTGCTGCTTCTTTAAAAATATATGTTACATTTTGTTTACTTATTGATGTCAGGGGCAGATAATAAGGGTTGAAATGTCAAATAATTGACATAAAGTGTGACCTATACCATCCCATCCCCAGGTACTCATAGTAGTTAAGATGTGAATTATGGTTTTATCCTAGATATTCAATATTAGTACTTGAACCTAACTCACACTGCTTCATTTTGACAGCCTTAAGTCATGCCAAAAACTATAAGTATAATAGTATAAATATTTCACAACTGTCACTATGAATGAAAATCATAATATTTAATCAATAACAAAAATAAAAAAATAAGTCTTGAGATTCAATTTTTTAAAAAACTTACATAAAAGTGTATCACATTCTATTGAATTACAACTTTATAGGCTAAGAATTGGTTAAATTCCTTCTTGGATCACTATAAGGCTTTTGCAGTTAAGATGGAAGGCTTTATTATATGAAGCAGGGTCTGGCTCTGTAGATATTAATGACAACCTGTTTTATTGCTCTCTGTAGATGTAAAATGACACAGTTGTTATTACACTGGGTCTGGGTCTGTAAATTCCATTGCTGGTCAGTTTTATTTCTTCCAGTAGTCATAAAATAGCACAGCTCTCAGTGGCAGATATTAAGAGGGGTGTTAGGGGGGTCCTGACCCCTCCCCTCCCCTTCGATTACTGAGAAAAAAATCACACCTATAATTCCTCTTGAAATTAGAATTTTGTGTAGCTTAATCATAGTTTTAAACTATACCAGATGTCACCATTCACCAAATAAAATACCAAAATATCAGCGGGCCCCGAACCCCACGTCAGCAGGGGAAGGGGAGACTTCGATTCCATGGACCACCCCCTTCAAATAATTCTGGCTCCGCCCTTGGCTCTTATTGCACAGTAATGCACTGCTTGTAGAGCTCTAGATATGGTTAGTCTCTTCCTCCATGTAGTGTTGCCATTTTGTATAGCCTGATTAAAGCTCATCTTATATGACAATGGCAATGAACAGTTTCCTAAATTTGAATGATTCTTGATAAGTTTAGTCTTGTTCTGCTTACTGCTAACATTAGATTGGATTGCTGTCCTAATTTTGGAGAGCACTGTAGATGGTCATGATAGTGTCATTGTTTTGACATGGTGTGACATTTGTTTGACAGTGTTGTGACAATGTATTGATGATAGTGTGATGTTGTTTGGGTGTAGTGAAACATCTTTACAATGTTTTTTTTAAACATAGTGTGACATTGTTTTGACAGTGGTGTGGTATATTTGGACATAGTGTGACATTGTTTTGACAGTGGTGTGGTATATTTGGACATAGTGTGACATTGTTTTGACAGTGGTGTGGTATGTTTGGACATAGTGTGACATTGTTTTGATGTTAGTGTGATGTTGTTTGGATGTTTTGACATTTTTACAGTTTTTTTTTTCTCGGACATGGTGTGACATTTTTTGACAGTGGTGTAATATTTTTGACAGTAGTGTGACATTGTTTTGACACTGATGTTTATTCTGTAGCAAAGACAGTGGGAGGAAGAGCAGTTGAAATGTCAGGTGAAGTTTGAAGAGGCTCAGATAGACCCCGCCCCCTTCCAGCTAGTGGAGAGGACTTCCTTACAGAAAGTAAGATGAAAAAAAACAGAACATTTAGAAAATGCATGGCTGGTTTTCAAGAATGTTCATTTTATCCGCATCTCTGTCTTTTACATAAATAAAACTTTCCAAAATTCAATAATGACTGGGGAATTGAAAAAAGAGAGGATCATTTAATCAAAATAAAATTTAGCATCAATGCAGAGGAATCTGTCGGAGTGTTTCAGCTTATTCTTGGAAGAAATGGATCCATCATAATGGCATGGGAGAACTGAATTGTACATGCATTCTTTACAGTACCTAAGTAGTTAAGACTTCACCGTTTCACTTCTTTCTCACTATGTGGTTGTGGCTATGTTTCAGGTTCACTCTCTGTTCTCACTGCTAGGCCTGAACCATGCCTATGTCACCAATACAGGGAGATTGGTAGGAGTGGTTGCACTTAAAGAGGTAAACACACATCAACATGTTACTATCATAACTATATAACACTGTAAACTTGAACCATGCCTATGTCACCAATACAGGGAGGTTGGTAGGAGTGGTTGCACTTAAAGAGGTAAACACACATCAACATGTTACTATCATAACTATTTAACACTGTAAACATCAGAATTGCTGCTATTTGGCACTAGAAAAGTAAATGCTTAATGTGTTTAAAAGTTGTTACAGTATTACTCAGCCTTTGTTAAATCTTGTGTGACCCAAGTCTTGTGTAAGGTGTTACACTCTCGAAGTATAGGTCAGAGAATGATGGAACAAGTTTAACAAATCACAGCATGGGGTAATGCAATCAGCCTGCATTTTGTGCTTGCAGGTGAGGAGGGCCATTGAGGGCCAGGTAGAAGAAGACCATGAACTGATGCGGACACACAAGCATGGCAATACTGTGGAACTGGAGATGGAAGTGCGGGAACGGTCGGATAGTGAGGCTTGAACTACATCAACTCATCAGATAGTGAGGCGTAAATAATAATTGCTCATGGTCAGTTTGGAGCAGAAAGGAAAGTGAAGCACATGGAAACTGAAATATTTTATCAGGACATGAAATATGCCAGAAGACAGTGAAGAGAACATTACTAGGAGCTGTGTACCAGTAGAGAGAGAGGAGAGTATGAACTCTTAACATTGGTGCTGTGGTCAGAATACTTGGTGTTTACCATGTACCCCCCTCTCACTGCTGACATTATGCATTTAGAGAGTTATCAAAATAAAGAACAAAGAGATATGGCATGTCATGATAGTCCATGACTTGACAGTCAGTGTCATGGTAACCATTGCCATGACAATATGCCATGACAGTGCATGACCTGACATTCAGTATATGGTAATTGTTGCCATGACAATATGCCATGACAGTGCATGACCTGACATTCAGTATATGGTAATTGTTGCCATGACAATATGCCATGACAGTCCATGACCTGACATTCAGTACCATGGTAACAATTGCCGTGACAATATGGCATGACAGTCCATGGCCAGACATTCAGTATCATGGTAACCGTTGCCATGGCAACATGGCATGACAGTCCATGACCTGACATTCAGTACCATGGTAACTGTTGCCATGACAACATGCCATGACAGACTATGTCGTCATATACAGTTACACAGTAACCATTGTTTCAGTTCATAATAATGCCAATATCATTTTATCCATGTTAAATTTATTTGGGTCCTTAAGTAAATAAATACATTGTAACTACTGGTGTATGGGGGTGGGGGGGGGGGGGGGTTTCATGCCAAGGCAGTCCTTTTGTACCCAGAGTTTAAGAGTCTACTGTAGACTGACCTGTGTAATCATCATGTCTTCCAGAAAGGGAGGGGAGACAAGATGATAATACAGCTTACTGGCAGTCTACTCGAAACTCCAAAACTCTGGATGCCATTTTAGTCATATATTTGTATATATATATTAACATTACCATATTTTTTATATCTCTTTTTGTAAAGACTGCATTATGATTTAAATTAGCTTTTTGAATGGTCAAATGAACCCTTGTTTTCTTGTTCTGTTTATTTCAGTCATTGGCATATTATCATTATTCATAAATTTCAATTATCACGAAACAGATACAACTGTAACAGTGAATTTCCCTCTGGGTTTTAACTGTTGTTTATATTTGACAAAAAGAAACAGCACTATACTGTCAAGTGCAAGGAGCCAAGTTGTTTTAAAATAGGTTGTTCTATTAAAATAGACTGAACTGTTTTTATACACTGTGGTGTACAGTGTATGTCCTCATAAATAGAATTAAAATAGGTTGTTCTATTAAAATAGACTGAACTGTTTTTATACGCTGTGGTGTACAGTGTTTGTCCACATAAATAGAATTCCTCTCTCTTCTTTAGAATGTCAATTTAATACTTTTGATTTACTGAACAGCTGTGGCCAACAAACATATATTATCTCTATCTTATAAAGTATAAGGGTGTGTGTATGTGTGTGATCATTTGTGGGTGTGTAACAGTATAAGAAACGTTGTGCAGCATAAAATTTGTTAATACTACAAAGCATCTCTGTGCGTCATGATAGCCTTGTGTTTAAAGTTGGAGTCATGATGTGTAAAAAATGAAGTCATCTTTTTCAGATATTCTAGTCTTACATACAGTATGTAGTATTGGGCCAGAATATCACTTGGTTGTTGTGGGATTTTGTACTTTTTACTATTCAGTCAGAAAAATTTCATTAGCATGGTGGGCCTCATATAATATGCTTACAAACTTGAGCATTGGTTGATCAAACATCATTTACATTTAGATTTACATTTACATTGTTTATGCATCAATTATATGCATATGTTATTGTTTATACAAAATGAAGTTAATCCAAGCCTGATATGTGTATATCTTAGTGTTATGCAAGGTGTATTTAATTATAACTAACAGCAGTATTAACTACAGACTTCAATACAGTGATTTAGCTTGCATCATACCAGAAAGTTTATCAACACTTCTCTCTTCTCTGTACTCCTGAGATTTGAGACACATTTGCAGTTATCCAAAATAAAGATATTTTCTTCTAATACAAACTGTTGTCTGTCTTGATTGATGGATTGATAGTAGACAAAGTTGTCCACATACTGTTAAAACAAGGTGGACCAAACTGACTACTACTGGTTTCATCTTAGAGAACAGATTACTTTCCATTAGCAATTGAAAAACGGTTTCTTTAAAAAATGTATAAAGTAAAAGCGCGCAAACCATGGGGTGATATCTACAGGATTGAGAAACTTTTTAGCATAATTTTATCAGCAAAATTTGGAAACAGTAACCTTAAAGATATGAATATTTTGGATGGTATATCTGTGCTAGTGTATACTTCATATTGCCTAGTAACAGTTGCCTTGGTGATCTCTAGGGCAACAAGTTCTGGTTCTACTGACTGTTTGGTGTTGTGCCAGTCACTGCCAAACATGCCTACGAATGATTTCACCGCTCTCTCCGTGCCTGAAAAGATAGGGTCGGATTAACTGAACGCAGGTTGAGCGACCGAGTAAATATTTAGCTTTAACTAATTACTTATCAATTTGAAAGAGAAAAAAGTTAAGAATTAAGGTTTGATTTTGGAACTATTGGATATACCATAAAACCGTCAAGTTGAAGTTATGCAAATATTGTTTATTCCAAATTCACATGATTAACATAATGTGCAAAACTTAAAAGACTAGGATTCCCTGCTCTCTTTTATTCCAAGTACATTTTAAATTTTTTCAATATAAAAATGATGTATTTTATTCCATGTACAAAAGTTTACAAACTCCAGAAGCAAACATTAAGTATTTTTTTATTGAATTATTGAATTTTACATGTTGTTTTCTGGCCAGCATGGACCATTCCACTCAAATGAAAGCAAGGGAAATAGACACAATATGCATGCGGAATAATAATAAACACAATATCACACTGGACTATCAACGGTGCCATTCTCCCTCTCACTCGTTCTATCAACCCCTCTCTCTTTCTCTCGACATTTAGTTATCATATTTGAACGACCTGCTTCTGTGGCGGAAGTGAAGGGGGGGGGGGGGTAGGCCTTGGAAGTACCTGCTTATACAACCTCATCTCTCCCTCCTCTAAAAAGTGTATTAGAGGCAAAACGCGTGCGGGAGAAAGCCAAACGATATGTTTTCATCCCTGTGTCTTACTACACAGTCAGAAAAGTATATGTTGACTCATTCTGTCAGCTTTAATTTTTTGGCCTCACTTGGATCTCTGTCTTTATTTCTGATTCCATTCAAGCCGCATACCCCGCGAGATCGCACGTGTTTTTTTTTTTTTTTTCTAAGACCTCTGGTCAAAATGGGCTTATTCCAGTTCCTGATTTTATAAGTTAGTTGTCGGTAGGCGACTTTCTTTAAGAAATGGGTCATTAATATTGAAAATTGAAACTGTGTTATTTGCATTACCTCGCAGATTGTGACAGTTATGGTCCATGTTTAATTGCAGCAGTTGCACATAATGGTGTCGCTGTACCGATTTCAAGCGAAGGCAGTACTCGGTTATCTTTGCCTCTCTCTATCTCTTCCTCTCTCCCTTTTTCTGTCTTTCTCTCTCTCCTTCTGTGTGTGTGTTTCTCTTTATTTCTTTTTTTTTTAGAAAGCCTCTTAGATGAGATAATCTGTCGAAATGTTTTTGCTCACAGTCTTATATATCTTCACGTCACTCTTCTCCCAAAATCGTGTATTACTGTAGAAGCAAAACGAAAGCCAAGCGATATATATTCATCCCTTTAAACCCCCGCACCACAGCCTCTACGTTAATAAATAAATAGATAGATAAATAAATAAATAAGTGGGCCTGCTTATATCACGTGCAAATAGACCACCCAGATAGCATGCATACGTTGGGCCAACGTTGGCCCAACGTTGCCTTGGTTGACCATGCAACGTTGGCCCAACGTTGGGTTTCCATCTAAGTGCTCACTTTGGCCAACGGTTGGCTGAACGTCTTTTTAATGCCAACGCATTGCCAACGTATTCCCAACCAAACTGCGTTGGCCCTACATTGGGCCAACTAATAACCAACATTGGTCCAACAATTACCCAACCTGTAACCAACAGTGCA